CTCATTCTCGGACGGGTGCTGCCAGGGGGTGACCCAAATGGGTCCAAGAGGGGCCCGAAATGGCCCCTTTAGGGCCTTGTTCTTCCCCCCCCCATGTGGGCCACCGCCCATTTACCACCCGCTCGACATTCTCAGTACGTCTCCTCCTCATCAAACGCCGACGACTGCGCCGACATCAACCGACGACAACGACGACGACGACGACGATCCGCTCCTCGGCGTCGGGGCCAAGGCCTCTGCCCGGCCACCATGACTGCAGCGCGATGCGCTGCTCGCTGGTGATCTCCTGGCCCAGGTGGGGTGGAAAGGGAATGGGGGCGGGGAGGTTTGTTTCCCTGGGTCTTCTCAGCGATACGTTTGCAACAGATTCCGGAAAAGGAGGGGCAGTAGGGGGGATGGACGAGGGGGAAGCAGGAGGGGGAGGAAGAGGAGAAGGAGGAGAGGGAGTCGAGCCGACTTGAGAGCGCCAGCAGCAGGTCTCAAGTGTAAGAGAAACGATGCTCCTGGTGACGAGCTCAGTGCCGCTCGCGGCTGCACCCGGCAAGCCCAAGATGCGTGCTCGGTGGACCCATGGCCGAAACAAACCAATGGGCCCTCGTGGTTGAGGGGAGGAGGATGAGGAGGGGAAGATCCGAGGAAGAGGACGACAATGAAGCCGAGAAGGACGAGGGCGAGGCCGGCGACGACGACGAGGACAAGGACGATGAGGAGAACGAGGACGACGAGGATAGGAATTCAAAAAACATAGACATAAACTTTCGGAGCTGTAGGTGCCATAGTCGCCGCCAGGGTGCCGCCAGCGCCGATCCAAGAACTCTGCGCGGAGCTCCGAATGCTTAACTATCTGTAACTATGTCTGCACAGGAGGGCGACGACGACGAGAAGGACGAGAGCGATGATCGCACGTAGCTGCGGACAGGGCGCGTGCCAGTTAATGCACCAGCGTGCGCAAAACAGCAGCTCGAATCTCGAGATGCGGGCCCGATGGGGGCAACCTCAGACTGTCTTCCTGCGGAACACAACCTCCGACCAACTTTACGCATTCACATTGAAGTCGTGAGAGAGTGCCAGGACGAGGAGGACGGGGGAGCCGGAACAGGAGAGCAGAGGAAGCAGCAAACAAATCAGGGGACCACAAGTCGTGCTGCGAGCGCCGCCCCCGACTTCGCCGGAGGCGTCCCGACCAGGCACAGCCGAGAATACTCGCACCATTGACCCTCGCGCGGGTAGGAACACAACCGGCAAGGAGACACGAAAAGGAGGGGAAGGGCGGGGAAGAGTAGAGGGCGAAGACACAACCACAGCCAGCAGGCACGCTGACTCCTCGCGCCCACCGCAGGAGTGGAAACCAAGGAGCCAGGACAACAAGAGCAAACAGGCAAATACTATGAGTGGTAAGTGGAGCCACCCATGAAGCTTGCAAGGCACGGGGAGCTCTGAGAGCAAACCGCCCCAGCCGCCCCCAATGATGGGCCAATGTTCCACCACCCCTACAATAGGTAGGACGGGGAAGAAGGGAGGATGGGGAGGTCCTCCTCCTCCTCCTCCTCCTCCTCCTCCTCCTCCTCCTGCTCCCTCATCCTTCTCCTCCTCCTCCTCCTCCTCCTCCTCCTGCTCCTCCTCCTCCTCCCTCTCCTACCTATGGTAGTGGTGGTGAAAAATCGGGCCATCACCCAAGGCACTGGGCGTCGCCCCCGAGACCCGGGGGGAGCGCCGCCGAAGTCTGAAGAAAGCCCGCCATGCAGTGCGAAGCCGTGACCGGAAGCAGACGGGGAGGGGGAGGAAGGAGCCAGGCGCGAGGCGAGGGCACACGAAGGAGCAGCAACGCCGTGCGGTCCGAAGAGACGCGGCGGCTTCAGGGAGTCGCGCGCGGGAGCTGGCCTGGAGGGGCCCGCTGTGCCGCCGGTGCTGGGGCCCCTCGTCAGACTCGTGGTCTGCGACGTAATGCTCGACTCCGTCATGGTGGGCGCCGTGGTAGCGTTCGACGCCGTAGTGCTAGATGCCAACCTAATATTCGACGCCTTCGTGGGAGCATGGGATCGCCCGAGGTCGGTGTATTCGATGGCGACGTGGAGTTCGACTCCGCCATCGCGGACACCCCAGCAGCGCGCCTTCCGTATAGCTGGATAGGGGCGTGCCGCTGACTTCCGTCATGATGGGCACTGTTGTGATGCTCGGGCTCGGCTCGGGAACGCAGGACATCGACGTGGTGCTCGTCTCGAATCGTGGATAGCGGGGGAACGCTCGAACCCGCAGTGCTGGATACCGACTTTGTGCTCGAAGCCGTCAGGATGGACATCATGGTTGGTGGATGTGCTATTTGCGAGCGACGGTCGAAGAATTACCGACGATGAAAAATGGCCGTCGGTCCCACGACTCCCCATCGGCGTCGGGGTCGAATCCGTCGTGGTGGATGCCGTTGGAGTACCTCGCTCCGTGATGCTGATTCCTGTCGCAGTGCTCACTTCCGTCGTGCTGGGCAGCAAGGTAGCGAACGATTCCGTAGTGCTAGAGAGCCCCATGGCTCACCAATTCGTAGTCAGTGCTGCATGTCGTCGTGGCGTTCGATTCCGTCGCGAGTATCGGCCACGCGGCCAGGACCAGAGATTCACAAAATGTCCCCCCCTGCCCAGTGGATACCGTGGCGGGATCGTAACGATAGTGCCAGATACCGCAATGGTGACCGAGCCATCTGTAATAGCCACCGTGGTAGTGCCCGGCAGATGTACACGTTGCGAAGGGGGCAGGCTTTGTCCACCTGGGGGGTCGGTTATCGAGCTGCTCGCGTCACTCATGGACTCCCAAATCAAGACGGTACCGGGGTTCGAGATGGTGCTGGGAGAAGAGCCGGTGACTATACCGATGATGGCGGTGCTGGTGGCGATTCTTGTGAAGATGCGAGTGTCAGTGATGTTGTGAACGCTGGTGTAGATCCTTGTGTCGATGCTGATGACGGCGCCGCCCCAGGCGCTTCTTGGAGCAGGCGACGTTGCAGGCGTTGGGTGTCCAAGCTGGGGCAGACGTCGGTGTTGGTGAAAGAGCTGGTGCATGGCCGTCGTGGGCGCGCCGCCCAGCGACGCTGTGAATCGACGGTCGAAAACGGACGGTCAGTCATCACGCGCTGGCGATGGCAAGCGTCCAGGCGCCCCGCCCCCCGTGGCCGCGCGCGCATCTGCGATCCCCGCCTGCGCAACGAAGGTGCGCCCACGCGCGGACCTGCCCCGCGCGCGCGCGCGCCTGCCAACCAATTGGCCACATTCTCCCTGCAGGACGCGAGCCGCGCGCGAGCGCCTGCTGGCCGCGCGCTGCTTCCCGCTGCCCCTTTCAATGCGTGCCCGCGAACAAACGAGTTTGTGCGCCCACTTCTCGTCGCTGTGCACCCAAACCGCCACCTTCGCGACCCTACTCAACCTCCGCATGCGCAAGGGAAATTAAGAGGTGAAGAAAACATCTCGTCACAAGTGCAACCGCCTCCGGCGGGTACAGATGTCAACTGTCACTGAGATGGTGCCGATGTCAAGTGTCACGGAGCCAGGGCTTATGACCAATGTCGCGGAGATGGTGCACCAAAACATGGATAACTGCCCGCATGTCTGCCCGAAGAAAAATAAGCATTGCATTGCTGGATCTGGTCGTGGGGTTCAGCATCGTGCTGATGGTGCCCGTGGTGCTGTTCTGTTCAGTACTGCTAGAGCCCATCGTGTAGTGTCCAGACGCTGGTAATCGTCGTGCGTCGCACTCTTGGCCCTGGAGCTGGCACTGCCACTGGTGGTAGAAGTCATGAACGAGGTTGTTGCTCTCGCGGAGGTGGTGCTAAGGGTGGATGGTGTGATGGCGCACAGGCGACCGATGGCGGAGGATCGACCTCACGCATCGCAGCCATGGCAGTGGAGAGACTGCCCGACGCGACATCTGAGGGTCACTCCCCATTACATCAGGCGGCAAGTGCGTTCGAGCGGCCGAGTCTGAGGGCACGCAGTCTGGGTACGAGGATCGGCGGTAGAGGAAACCGCCTCCCTCGCCTTCGGCCGGCCCTCTCAGATACACAAGGCGGCATGGTGGGTAGTGGAGCCCGTGTCGGGACTGGAAGCTAGGGCGGGACACGGGAGTTGTAGTGGCGGTGATAATGGTGGTAATGGAGAGGAAGGTGCAAAAGTGGAAGTTGCCTCAGGAAGTCGTGATAGTGGAACTAATAATGGTATCTGTAATTGGAGCGCGTATGCTGACCAGCATTGTGCTGCCAGTGCCCAGCGTGCTGCTAAAAGACGTGGTGTTCGACTTCGTGATGCGTAGAGCGTGGTACTTTTTGAATGCGAGAGAAAGTGGGAAAGAGCGGCGCTCCCTAGAGGTCTCCCTATGTAGTGAGTCTCACCCCCGAAGCCGACTCGCACAAGGACAGAGGCAGGGATGACGGAGCGAGATAGAACGAGGACGATGATGAGGACGATGAGGAGGACAAGGACGACGAGGAGGACGAAGGGGGACGACGCCGACTTCGCAAAGGGCTGGTGCTGTCTCCTCGCGCAGGGGGTCGCCCGCCGCCCGTCCCAGCAGCTGCGTGAGGCACAGGCCGCACCGGCGGGCAACCTGGGCGGATGGAGGGGGAGGCCGTTGTCGAACGGTGGCATGGGCAGGAAGCTTTGCTCAGTGGAGGAGGTGGAGGAGGGAGAATGGAGGCGGGAGTGGAGGAACAAATATCGACATGAACACAAACTTCCGGAGCTCCGCGCACAACTCTTGGGTCGGCGCTGGACCCCCCCGGCGGCGCATCAGGAGCGGCCCATGGCGCGCTCCGCGCGCAAGGGAGGTGGGGCCAGCGCCGATCCAAGAAATCCGCGCGGACCTCCAGAACTTTCTGTGTACGCAAGTCCTTCCCCGAGCAGGGAGAGGGAGAAGGGAGGGCGCAGGACGGCGGCGAAGCCAAGGCCTCATCCGCAGGGCTGCCAGCGACCTTGAGGCGCACCTTGGTGGTCAGGTCGTCGTCCCAGACGTGGACGTCCTTAGGTGCATCTTCGTCGGCCTCTACATCGCCGCCGCTCTATCATTGCTCTCGTCCTCGTCCTCGTCATCCTTTAGCAAACTCGTCCTCATCATCCTCCTCGTCCTCGTTTCGCCCTCGCTTTCGTCTTCCTCAACCTCGTCCTTCCCCTTCTCCGCCCTCTCATTGTGTTCATAGTCGACCTCCTTGCTTCCTCGACCCCCCCTCGACCTATCTACTCGACCTCGTTCACTTTCTCCTCCGACTTCCTGGGGCCGCCCCCTCCCTTCCCCCACCCTCCTAAATCAACGACTCAAGGCATTGACAAATGTGTGGCTCAGCGGTGGAGAAAGAAGCGGACAGTGTGGCAAGTACCAACCGACCATGGCGAATGGTTATGTTCGCGCGTATGGCGTGGGCACGCAAGCGAACGCCCCAACGGGCGCCGTTCAGTGAGAGGAGCGTGTAGAACTGGACGCCAGAGCGCACGCGAGCGGCCCGACCGGCGCCGCAGGTTGGGCTGTCTTTGGGACACGACTTGTGTGACGGGTGCGCCAGCACGAGAACTAGGGCGCACGCGGTCGCGCCCAGTGGTTCCGTAGTTTCGACACTTGCTGGGCCGCGTGCTGCGAGTGTGTGTGCGTGTGCGTGTGCGTGTGCGTGTGCGTGTGCGTGTGCGTGTGCGTGTGCGTGTGCGTGTGCGTGTGCGTGTGCGTGTGCGTGTGCGTGTGCGTGTGCGTGTGCGTGTGCGTGTGCGTGTGCGTGTGCGTGTGCGTGTGCGTGTGCGTGTGCGTGTGCGTGTGCGTGTGCGTGTGCGTGTGCGTGTGCGTGTGCGTGTGCGTGTGCGTGTGCGTGTGCGTGTGCGTGTGCGTGTGCGTGTGCGTGTGCGTGTGCGTGTGCGTGTGCGTGTGCGTGTGCGTGTGCGTGTGCGTGTGCGTGTGCGTGTGCGTGTGCGTGTGCGTGTGCGTGTGCGTGTGCGTGTGCGTGTGCGTGTGCGTGTGCGTGTGCGTGTGCGTGTGCGTGTGCGTGTGCGTGTGCGTGTGCGTGTGCGTGTGCGTGTGCGTGTGCGTGTGCGTGTGCGTGTGCGTGTGCGTGTGCGTGTGCGTGTGCGTGTGCGTGTGTGCGTGTGCGTGTGCGTGTGTGCGTGTGCGTGTGCGTGTGCGTGTGCGTGTGCGTGTGCGTGTGCGTGTGCGTGTGCGTGTGCGTGTGCGTGTGCGTGTGCGTGTGCGTGTGCGTGTGCGTGTGCGTGTGCGTGTGCGTGTGTGTGTGTGTGTGTGTGTGTGTGTGTGTGTGTGTGTGTGCGGATCCCGCGCAGCGGCCCTCTCTTGCGCCAGCAGACGGGGCTCGTGCCCCCACCGGCTGTGCCCCCCCTCCACATGGCGCGTGCGGCAGTGGGCTTCCTTCCAACCAGTTACCAGTTCCCGCGGCCACTCCTCAGGCCCGCCTCGCTCTCCCACCATCGGCTGCGTGGAGCGAGGCCACAAGGGCCGCCCCGGAGCCCGAGGGCGTCGGCGATGGGGGGCCCCCCGCCTCTGGGCGACGCGAACTCGCCCGAAGCTCCCTCCAATGGCTTGCCAACCCAGGCGTGCGGGCGAAGCGTGCCAGCCGACCCAAGGTGCTGGGCTACGTGTCTGTTGCGGCCCCACCCCATCGACGTTGAAAACGTGATTTTTTTCTTAAAAAAAGGAGAAAGGAGGCACTTCAATCTGCACTTGGGGACTGGCGCAACCGCCAGACGATCTATTGCTACTGCCAAGTCTGCATTGGAAACTACATCAAAACTGGACGAACGCATTGTGTGCGCAACCCCGACGGCCTCCAAGCGTTTATATGGGACACAATGAAAGCCAATCGCGAAGCCGATCGTATCGCTGCCCGCATCGACGGCTCTGGTGCAGCGACAGAAGCACAGCGCCACGCGGTGGACAGCAGCAGCACGATCAGAAAGAGGAAGGCAAGCAGCAAAAAGGAGCGGGGAGGAGACGGCAGAGGACAAGGGAAGAAAAGGACGACAGAACGAAACAGGCAGCGAAAACACTAAAGCAGGCTGATGAGACGGAAGTCACAGGTAGAAGTAGAAGTGGATGAGCCGGTAGCGGAGGTCCTTCTTGTGATAGCCGTTCCCGAAGAGGATGGAGGCCGTTGGGTGATTGGAGAAGGGTACAGGTGCACTGGTACTTCCAATGGCCCGCCTGCACAACGTCCCGCTCCAGGGTCGTGCACCGAATTTGGCCGTGGACGGGGAGGGAGTCGGCGAGCTGGTGCGTGCGAGAGTCGGCGAGCTGGGCGGCTCGGGAGTCGGCGATCTGGTCGGCACGGGGGTCGGCGAGCTGGACCGCGCCGGAGTCGGTGAGCTGGGCAGTGCTGGAGTCGGCGACCTGGTCGGCATGAGAGTCGGTGACCTGGTCGACGCTGGAGTCGGCGAGTTGGTCGGTGCGGGAGTCGGTGAGCGGAGCGATGCTGGAATCGGTGACCTGGTCGGCAAAGGAGCCAGCGAGCTGGTCGGCGCGGCAGCCGCCCCCGGATAGCGACTTCGAGAACTGGTCCGTGCGGGAGTCGGCAATCTGGTCGGCGCGGGAGTCGGCGAGCTGGCCAGTGCTGGAGTCGGTGAGCGGGACGGCGAAGGACGCGGTTGCATTTGAATCCACCTTTTTTCTCACCTCGTCCTCCCCTCGGGAGCCAGAGTCTGGTGTCAATTTGTTGGTTCGAGGCGTCTTGGTGTCAGTTTGTTGGTTCCGGGGCCGATGCGTCTTGGTGTCGATGAGTTGGTCGGCGCGGGAACCGGGAGGCTGGTCGATGAAGGAGCAGGCCGCGAACCGGTCGGTGCGGGAGTCGGCGAGCTGGTCGGCGAGGGAGTCGGCGAGCTGGCCGGCGCGGGAGTCAGTGACCTGGTCGGCGAGGGAGCCGCCAAGCTGGTCGGTGCGGCAGGTCCCGATCTGGTCGGTGCCGGAGTCAACGAGCTGGTCGCCGCGGGAGTCGGTGAGCTGATCGGCGTGGGAGCCGCCCAGTTGTTCAGCGCGGCAGCCGGTGAGCTGGTCGATGCGGGAGTCGGCGAGCCACTCGGCGCCGGAGTCATCGAGCTGTTCGACCTGGTCGGTGCGGGAGTCGGTGAGCTGGCCGGCGCGGGACTCGGCGAGCTGATCGGCGCTGGAGTCGGTGACCTGGTCGGTGAGGGAGTCCGTGAGCTGGCCGGCGCCGGAGTCGGTGACACGGCCGGCGAGGGAGTCGGCGAGCTGGTCGGTGCACGAACCGGTGACCTGGCCGGTGCGGGAGTGGGTGATCTGGTCGGTGCGGGAGTCGGTGAGCTGGTCGGTGCGGGAGTCGGTGGTATGGTCGACGAGGGAGTCGGTGATCTGGTCGGTGCGGAAGTCGGTGACCTGGTCGATGCGGGAGTCGGTGATATGGTCGGCGAGGGAGTCGGCGAGCTGGTCGGTGCACGAGTCGGTGACCTGGTCGGTGCGGGAGTCGGTGATATGGTCGACGAGGGAGACGGCGAGCTGGTCGGTGCAGGGGTCGGTGACCTGGTCGGCACGGGAGTCGACGCTGGTGCCGGTGCTGGTGTCGATGTTGGTGTTGATGCGGATGTCGACGCCCGTTGTGGCGCTAACGTCGGATGAGGTGTCGACGCTGGTGAGAGTGCTGGTGTTAATGATGGTGTCGATGCTGATGTCGGTGATGGTGGCGATGTTGGCGTCGACGCTATTGCATTGAGCTCCTGGTTCGTGGCACCGACATGCTGAGAAAGGGCATCAAGTCCGGCAATGGCCCTGGGCACGGGGGGAGGGCGGACAAATCCTGCCCACCCCCTGATTGTCACGGACTTGGTGCGTGCGTGTTGCCCTCACGGTGCGCGGTGCTACCCCGGCCGAGCGGCCGAGAGCATAATATCGTATGCTGCGAGGAGGACATGCGTGTAGGAGTGCTGGTAGTCGTGGTGGGCACAAGAGTCGGCGAGCTGGTCGGCGCGGGAGTCGGCGAGCTGGCCAGTACTGGAGTCGGTGAGCGGGTCGGCGAGGGAGTCGGCGAGCTGGTGCGTGCGGGAGTCGGTCCGTGTGACGGGCGTCTGGCGCCGGAGCCGTGTGACGGGCGGCCCGCGCCGGAGCCGTGTGACGGGCGGCTCGCGCCAGAGCCCTGTGACGGGCGGCTCGCGCTGGCGCCGTGTGACAGGCGGCTCGCGCGGGAGCTGTGTGACGGGAGGCTGGCGCCGGAGCCGTGTGACAGGCGGCTCGCGCTGGAGCCGTGTGACGGGCGGCTCGCGCCAGAGCCGTGTGAGTTCTGATCCCCTCCTCCTCAGCCTTCTCAGGTCACCGACTCCCGCACCGACCAGCTCGCCGAGTCCCTCGCCGACCATTTCACCGATTCCCGCACCAACCAGTTCACCGACTCCCGCACCGACCAAGTCACCGACTCGTGCACCGACCAGCTCGCAGACTCCCTCGTCGACCATGTCACCGACTCCCGCGACGGCCAGCTCACAGACCTCACCGACCAGGCCCGATCAGCTCGCCGATTCCCGCGCCGATCAGCTCGCCGTCTCCCTCGCCGACAATATCACCGACTCCCGCACGCTAGCCGGGTGGACGCCGGCGTGACGTTGAAAACGTGACTTGAGGCTCCGCAGAGAGCCACGCGTGGCGCATGGACCACTTCTCCGTCGCCGAGCCCCCTGCGGACACGGGGCCCAAAGGCGCAATCTGGCCGACAGGGACGCACAGTTGCTCTCGAGGTCGACTGCATCTTGCGCTCGCCTCCAGGGTGGCTCCCGTCCGTCCCGCATGCCGCCGGCCGTCTAGGAGACACGCCTGACGGCTGGGAGCTACGGGAGCTGACGTGGCCCTGTTCCCCTCTGGACCTACGGACGGATGACTCGAGCAGGCTCAATGATCCTCCCAAGGGCATCGCCCTTTCACGGACCCTGCCCGCCGCCGACGCCATCCGCCCCTGCCTCAAGGAGGTCTGGCGTCTGCCCATCAAATGCCACGGCGACCCCCCGCCGCCCCACGAACACTGCTGCCCAGCGTGGAGGGGACGCGGTGCCCTTTCACGACGAGGGTGCCGAAGGACCCAGGCTGGAGAAGGGCTTCCGCGTCGACCTGCTCCAGGGCTTCCTCCATTCGCAGCACCCGCAGCAAGACGAGGACCAGGAGGAGGCGGAATGGGCGGGGCCCCGGCGAGGGGAGCAGGGCAGAAGATGACGGCCGGGCCGCGCGGCGCAGGCGATGAGCCAACGCCAGTGGAGGGCTGGCAGTGGGGCAGGGAGACGGCCTGGGCCGAGCCGAGTGCTCGCGCCAAGTTGTTCCAGCAGTGTCGCTTCGCTTCGCGATCTGTCCTATCCTGTCCTATCCCATCCCTCCTCGTTTCCAGGTGTGCGCGAAGGGTCCGCAGAGCCAGCCCTCCCTCCTCCTCCAGCTCCTGCTCCCTGCTCCCCCCCTCCTCCTCCTCCTCCTCCTCCTCCTCCTCCTCCTCCTCCTCCTCCTCCTCCTCCTCCTCCTCCTCCTCCTCCAAGCCAATCCTCAGCCTCATCCAGACGCTGATCCAGGCAGCGCGATCCGCCCCAATGTGCGGCGCGTCCCATCGATCGAAAACCCAGTCGACCGCCCCGACCGAGACCGATCAACTGACTGGCTGGATCAACAGCCTGCTCGAGCCCTCTTCGACGGATCGTCGAGCGTCTGGTCGACCACCCTGAACGCGACCGGCCGAAACACGGATCGGCTGCCCTTTTCGAGCCCTGGGCGACAGATCAGGGTTTTCTAGGTGGAAGGTCCATCTTCTGCTCCTCGGGGGCGTCCACGAGGAAGAAATGGGTGTTATCCTCGGTTTCCCCCCCTCCCCCTCCTCCGCTTCCTGCCTCTCCCCTTCGCCCTGCTCCTTGTCGTCGTCCTCCTGTCGCTGCCGCTGATGGCATCAAGGCCGACCACGACGTCGCCACCCGACCTCCTCCTCCTCCTCCTCCTCCTCCTCCTCCTCCTCCTCCTCCTCCTCATTCTCCTCTTCGTCGTCCTCCATCGTCCTGCTCCTCCTCCTCCTTCCTGCTCCTCCTCCTCATCCTCCTCCTGCTCCTCCTCCTCCTCCTCCTCCTTCTCCTCCCCCTCCATTCCCTCTCATTCTGAACAACTCCTCCCTGTCGCACCCCGAGGCGTGTCGGCAGGGCGGGCTGGGCGTTTCGCCTGAGACTTCCTGACCGCTAATGGTTCTGAAGCTCAGAAAAATCCAACAGCATCACCGATGTAGGGCAGGTCTTTTCCAAAATGTGGCCCTCGCCTGAGCGTCGCGCACATTCGTCAGAATAGTTGCAATAGCTTCACGGGTGGAGGGCGGCTTCCGTTCAAAATGCGGTTCCCGCCTTAGCGCCGCACACATTCGCCTTAACAGTTTGCGCGCGCTTCACGGATGGAGGGCGGGTTGTTTTCAAGAAGTGGCTCTCGCCCCAGCGCCGCGCGCATTCCTGTCAAGAGAATACAGGAGCTTCCTGGGTGGAGGGCGGACCGATTTCAAAATCTGGCTCTCCCCTTGGCGCCGTGCGCATTCTTCTTAACAGTTTGCAAATTTGTCACGGAGTTGCGGCGGCTCCGTTTCAAAATGTGGGTCTCGCCTTAGGGCCGCACACATTCGCCTTACATGTGTGCAATAATGTCACGGATGAAGGGCGGCTGCTTTTCAATATGGCTCTCGCCCCAGGCCCGCGCACATTCCTCTTACGAGGTCGCAAGGGCTTCACAGATGGAGGGCTGGTTGTCTTCAATGTGTTGCTCTCGCCTCAGCGCCGCGCACATTCCTTTTGAGTGGTTGCAAGAGCTTCCTGGATGGAGGGCGGGTATTTTTCATTGTCTAACTATCACCTCAGTGTCGCCTTAGCGCCGCGCACATCCCTCTTAGGTTGCAAGAGCTTCCCCGACAGAGGGAGTGCTGTTTT